GTGGACCAACACGGTGGTGGACTTCCAAACTAACATCATTAGCAGGATCACAAGTCGATTGAAAAAGAGAATTGCAAGAAATGGATGAACATATGTAAAGAACACTATTGAATAGTCGCACAATCTCCATCCATTAAGCCACGGGTTTTGAATTGATACAGAGCAGGCTGGAAGAAATACCAAGAGGTATCAGTAGCATATATACTCAGAGAAAATAAAGTCCTCAAGAGTGGCAACAAGCGGTGGCACAAGATTGGCTAACAGGTATAAACAGCCTTGGTCAAGTTGGTACAATAGTGAATCTCTCTTCACAGGTAGATGAAAGTGACATAGAGGAAGAGAGTGAAGTTGAATTCCTTAGTAGTAGTATATAATCACATATCTATATCATATAAAACAATGTACTAGTATCATACTGGTTAAAATAGTTTGGGACAAGGTAAAACAAATCTAGATCAGAGCCAGCTGGTGAAATTCTGTATGAGTTGAGAGCTGTGGCAGTCCTGACTCTGACTGAAGCTAGAAACCAAAGTAATTGGGGAGTACTGGCAGGAGCAATCCGATGAACGATGGTAAGCTACTGACTAAGTTGTAGGTCTTCTGGCAACAAACTATATCTGGAAACTGCCAATGAGCAATATAAAGAATCCTGGAGCACTATGCAAGAATGTGCGGTGGAAGCAAAAAAAAATGCTGAAGGAGCATTAGAAGAGAGTAGATATTGGGCACCAGTTACCACAATGTTGGGGGTGTAAGGAAGGTATTCAGACAAAAAGACAAAATGCAGGCAAATTGCCAACAATACCGGGCTGCCTTCCATATACTCCCATCATCATGATAACTGGTACCCAATATCTACTGTCTTCTGATGCCCCTTCGGGTTTTTTTGCGTCCACCAGGCATCCTTAAATCATTGCCCTGACAAAACTGCCAGTCATGCCGTGGCAATGGCAGTACCAAGAAACCTAAAAAGATTGTACGAGGAAAGTGTTAATAATCAAAACACGTTAGGTGAGGAGCACCAGTGGTCCTGACATATCCGGAGTGGTGAAGTGCAGGTAGCCCATACTCAAGGAGAAGGTGGCTAATGAGACTGGTTAGGATGTATCCCATGCATCCAGAAATATGAGCCACATCTAAACACAATGGGTCTGTGCAGATTTATCTGGATTAGGAGTTTACATTAAGGGTGTCTGGAGCATCTGATACACGAGATGCATAGGATACAGGTATTTATTTTTGCTGATGTTATATTCTCGAGACAGTTCCAGAATAGCTCAATCTTGTTTGAGTCAGTTGAGTTTACAGGCCATTTTGAGATCCATCATATACTACTCACTTCAGCCTCCTTCTTATTCAACTTTGCTGTAGTAATGTGATTACTAGTATTATCCTCCGCTAGTCAGTATTGTCATCCAGTTTGTACTTGGATGGATTAAATGAATGGATAAATATAGTAATATAGAATTTTATTACAATACATACTCCATCACTCCTGTTTTCCTCTCACATAGTTTGGCAACACCATGTCAGCTATTGTGGATCACCCACTCTCCCCTCTGCCTTCTCAATGGTTACTGCCTATGGGTACAGTTTTACTTCAACAGCCTCTCCCACTTCAGCCTCACCTGCTCTCTGTCTGTTTAATGGGGGAGTTATCTGAAACTCACCTAGTAGTCCTGTCTTGCTTGGAGGGCTCGCTTAGCTTTAGCATGGTCAGCTTCATCTTTTCGTTTTCAGTCAGCACTGGAGGTGGTAGATATCACTCTCTCTACTTGCACCATCCCCATTAGAGAACACCATAGCTAGTAACTTCGTAGTCTGTCTCATGGTGAGATTCGACCCTATCCTCCTTGATACTCAGTTCAAGTTGTAGTTACCTTCCTCCCCTCACACTTCCAAATCCCTACCGCCAGTGGGATCCCCTCCACTAAGTGACACTATCTCTCCCAGAACCAAGTACTACATGAGAGATGTGGTAAACCAGTATTTGTTCAGTTTTTAAGGTCGGGTTTGCTCTGTGGCCTTTAGTCCTCCCTCCACATCCCACTTCAGTTGTGTTGACTCACACTCTACTTCCTCTTCTCTGTAGCTAATATCCTACTACCTCCTCCCTCTATAGCGTGGTGTTCTGGGATTTTGGCCTGCTCTCTGCCTGCATATGATTGATCTTTAGCTGGCACCCTACTGCTAGGTAGTATCCCCTCTACCAAACATCTACTTCTTTGGTATAGCACTAAGGATCCTGTTCTCAATTGGCAGGTTGTAGTATTGCATTACATCTGTGGCTCAGCTGGTTGACCTTAGGGCTCTTTGCCCACTGCCTTGTTCCTAGGTATTTCTTTAAAAATGGTAATCTGGACAATTAGCGTATAGTTGATATTTTCCTTTGTGGCTCTTTTGGGCCTGATAGTTTATGAGTAGAGTTTTTCTTTATACTTTCCTGCCTAGCTTGTTTGGTTTTCTTCCTGTTGGCTATATGTAGTTAGTAGGAGGGTGGGTCTTTTGGATGAGGAATCTTCTTGGGCATTTGGTTGGCTTTTAGATGAGACCCCTTCCCATTCAAGTAGTAAGTCCTGCAAGCTGGACACCTCAGTTGATCCTCTTTAAAGTGTGTGAGGTTGGGCCCATACCAGAGAGTCTTAGAGGTACAGGTTTTATCTTGGTCTGAGGTGGAGGGGTTTTCTTAACACCATAACCAGTACTGCATATGATGTTCTTGTACCTTAAACTAGGAATTAAATGCTGATAAAAAAAAGATTTATTATAATATATAAATTAGTCCAAACCTCTACCAATACTATAATCTCATAATTCTTCATTGAACTCCCAGTATAGATATTGAGGCATGCAACTGGGGTCATTTAGTCCTCAATTGACATTATACTTAGTTACGTTCTTATTAAGTGCCTGTAAGTATTCGGATTCTTTGGTGCCTGAAATTGTAGCATTTGCGTACCACTTCTCTCCTTGATCTGCTCCCTCTTGATTCTCGCTGTATATTTGCTCACCTTTTGCTTGTTGTTCTTCCACTGTTTCCTTTACCTATACCCATAATTGACAGTTAAACTCAAGTGTAATTGCACCAGAATTCAAGATACTCAATCCTGACATCTTCTTATCTTGTATTGTGGAGGCTTAGTGATTTTTGCCTTTCTCTCTTGTGATATTTCAAAGCCTTCTTGGTGCACCTTTTTCAAAAATCATCTCCTCACTATAATTAAAAAATTCAATCAGCTTTACTAACTCTCATTCTACTAACTGCAATCTATCTAATTTGCCCTCAGACAAGAGAGCTGGCTTGGAGCAGTACTTATAATGGACTAAATTTTGATACTTATATATCAAGTAATATGCTATTACTCTGCTGATATCTACTCATACCTTTAGTGTGATTTCTGTGAAAGTCAAAAGGTAGAACTCAACATCTTGCAAAACAAGTTCTTATATCCGATTCAATTCTTTAGAGCCTTTGGGATACTTTTGTGGAACAGCTGGATCCACACAAGTCTTATCTCCAATATCCACTATTGCTAATAAGTCACCAATCCTGCAAGCACGTAGTGATCGTTCCTCTTTATTTAATAATTTAATCTAGTTAATTTTCTGGGCGCTGACTTTCACTTTCTTCCTTTACTAACCTCAATTCACTCAAAGTTTTGCCTTGCTGTTTCTTTATTGACCTGTAGGGCAAACGTCATTCCAGCACATTCATGAAGGGCAATAATAGCAGGTTTGGTTGATATAGAAAGACTCTTCCCACTGGGCATTACAGAATGCACGCACTAATAGTAAGCTTTCCTGTCACCTGCCTACGAAGTATTACAGATTTCCTAGTCACGTACTAGTTGCACAATACTGATACACTATAGTTCTTTGGTGGAAAAATACCAGCCCTCACAGGCTACTACAAGTGGGGAAATCAATTCTTAGCTGAGACGCACAAGTAGAAATATGCTCATAATATCCCTTTAATATTATGTCTGTATAGTCTACATTGCTATTAAGATCGTACTGTTCACAAAATTCAAAAGTTCTCATATCTAGCATTGTGGAAATCGTGGATTTTGAAGTGCGGGGGTGCCATCGTTTACCTGTGTTTATCGATGTTGCAACCGATTTCCCAGGGTACATCTACGGTAACTGTGGTGGCAATACAATACATCACACCCGTTGCTGCCAAGCCACCGTTACATGTGTGGTTTTCGAGGACTTTTCCAACGGGAGTGCACAGTACCGGTACTCGTACAGTATGAATTAGATTCAGAGGATTCTGGTTCTAGACATTTTTTCCCAACGAGACGGGGTAGGATAAAAACAAGATAAAAATCAACCACCCGTTACAACTTACTGTAAACTTGCATCTCAAACAAGCAAAAGAACCCTCGCATCTGTGCTTGACAACGGTTCCATGCTGAATCGCATTGAATCGTGCCAAATTCAAACATGCCCGCAAGAGCCTGCGGTGCGCAGCCCCGTGCCCGAGTCCCCGACATACTGCGCGTGGTGGTGAATGGGGGGAAAGGAGTAGAACAGAAAAGAAGTGAAGAGAAAAGAGAAAGATTTTGATTGGGCTTCCTTTTTTTATTGACTTGTTTGATTCTCTAATTCATAGCATAAGAAGGAGGGGCGAGGCTCCAGACGCAAGGCGCTCATACACCCTTTGTGGTAAAGTTAGGTTTGCGACCGTCCACATGACTGAGGCTTTCGGGAGTTGATGATGATGACGGAGAGGGGGGAGGGAGTTTCCATTAGATGTTCTATCACCTCATATTCTCTCCAAGCTGTCCAGGATCAGGAGAGCATAGGGTAGCGGTGCGATTTTGCAGCACTGTACTTGTAGAATACTCGTAGTAGGGCGAGGCTTGTGATCCCAGCTGTTATCGCACATCGCCCAGGTTGAGAAGGCAGGAAAGAATTTAGGGCTGTAAAATAACAGTCGTGCTCACAGCTCACAGATGTCAACCTACTACGTGTACTTCATAAATACCCCTCCCCCTCCTTCCCTTCCATTTCCCTCCCAGCTCTGCCAATCGGTTCCAACCTTCACAAAGGAAAGAACACAAACCTCTACATACCTTTTTGGAAGCCCCCCGGATCCCAAGCAAAAATGTACACAGCAACAGAACTCTACCCAAATGAGCACGTCACCAGGGCCGTTCACGAATACTGTATTGCTCATTCCACGCCCTTGCCAGGCGTCGTGGACCAGCACCGTACAAAGTCTATTGATTTTGCACGTTCAGTTGGAATGGATCCTTACATGATGGTTAATACACTTCAGGTATGATATACTCCTTTCCCATAGGGCAGTACCGGAGGCAAACGCTAATATGGAGCCGTGGGGAAGGCTCAATTTATGCTTTTTTTCGCAAAGTTGATTGGGGCCAAGAAGGTGCTCGAGGTTGGGACTTTTACCGGGTATTCGGCATTGGCTTGGGCGGAAGCTATCAAAGGGCAGGAGGGTGCCAAGGTAATTTCTTCTTCACCTCCCCTTCTGTTCTCCACTCCTTCTGCAAGCGATTGAAGCTGATGAATACAAGCTCGTGTGCTGTGACACCCCCGGCCCCCACACCGAATTTGCTAAGGCGGCCCTACTCGAAGCCGGGTTTCCCGACACATTCGTTACTTTCCTCGAGGGCGACGGCGTCGAGAGCGTGAAATCTCTCCCCGCGGACCAATTCGACATAATCTTCCTCGACGCCAACAAAAACGGTTACCTTCCCGCGGTTGAAACAATCCTCTCCCGAAACCTCCTTTCTCCCCGCGGCGTCGTGATCGCTGATAACGCCCTCAGGCAAGGGCTCGTCGCGGATGATACGGAGAAGAACCCTAATTCGTTTGAGTTGGACAGCACGAGCGTCGCTAGCTATAAGTATATTGATGAGTTCAACAAGTTTGTGAGGGATCACGAGCAGTTGGAGCAGGTTATGTTGCCGGCTTTTGATGGGTTGAACATCATTCGATTGAAGCAGTAGTGGTACAGAACTGGATTGTGGCATTGATTTTTGGACTTGTATTCTCTCCTCTCTTGTATAATGTTTTGGTGATCAGTGTGGGCGGGTGATAGAAACCATTATACAAGTATATCCTTGTGCTGAAAAGGTCTTACTCGCTTCATTGTGACATGTTAGGGGTAGGTAGGGGTGTCGCACCCGACCGAATGTGACAAGCAGAATTGCAAAAGTTCAATCAGCCATGCGAACCAGGGATTCCCCAGAAATTGTATGAACCATATTCTCGGCCCTAGATATTTTTGCCGAAGGACTGCGACATGGTGCTTTACAGTTACAAGTACAGTAAATGTACAGCGCCCGAGCACTCGCAGAGTGTGGTCTCTCCCGCAGCACCCGACTTCCCAAACCCTTGCTCTGTGCAACCCATACTCCCGCACCGTCCCAAGAAAAACGATACCGGTAACAACAGAAGATCTAACCTCACCTCAAGATGCCGGTAAGGTGACGTCCTGCAGAATCTCAAATAATTGGAACCAGGTGCTATGTCGTTGGAATTGCCTCTTCTGGTAAGGTTGGGCGCTTCATCATTATTTTTGCTGTTACTTGTATTACATCTCTGAGAGAGTGCGGGTACAGTACTCCCTTTGGCTGTGTTTTACCCTCCCCCTTTTCCGTAGTAGGGAAATTTTGACTACACATCACATTGTCCCGGGATAGTATGATATTATGATGGTTAACCATTGATGTTCGAGTGGGGAAAAACCAGATATGCAGTGTTTTGGTCGGGGTAAAGGACAAGATTGGGGGCGGGTGGCTTTTTCGAGGGGGAAAAAGAAAGAAAAAGAAAGAAAAAAAATTCGAGGGGTTTATTGATGGGAATTGGGAATTGGGACCGAAAAGGTGGATTATCATATCCTAAGTGACTTGCTCCCGGATTGTATTTTTTTGTATTTTTCTTTCTGCATGGCGGGATAGTGTTGTGATTTGCTCTCGCCTTCTTCGCTACAATACCGGCCAAGACTCTTGAAGTCGGTCTCGACTACCTTATGCCTCTTACCTCCTGGATGTCGGGGATCACAAGCCCGGGGAGGCCGCTATGTGTTTTAAAGACTTTGGTATTTTCCAGGTCTCTTTGGGGTTCGTTGTGGTATAGTAGTTTTTTGTGAGTTTTGGGATGTGTCCCCTTGCAAAATTGGTAAAGTACCATGTTAAGCCAGGATTTCGAGTGATACTCATGACTTCGGACATATGTCCACTAGTCCGTGTCCAGGTTGGTATCATACCTGAGTAGTCTACGTGTGCCTGAACCCTGCATGTAACTGATAGCGTCCCGTCAAGCATAAATTCAATCATCCCATCTTCCCCTCGCTGGTCGACCAGAAAAGCAGAACGTGTCTCCACATCCCCCCCTCTCCATGGCGATGACCTCCACCCCGCCAGTCTCTCCAAGCCCGTACTTCAAAATCGCCTATCTGGCAAATAAGGGTCTGGGCGCAATCGCCACGAGCATAATCCCGGCCAACACCCTACTATTTTCCGAGCAACCACTATTAAGGATCGCCCACTCCTTCTCCTCCTCAATCGATAGAGCCGAGCGAGTGAGCGTAGCCTTCGCCGCGCTCTCCCTCCCTTCGCGCACAGTATTCCTCTCCCTTGCCGGCGGCGCGGAAACCGGAGTCGAGGGCGTTTGGAAATGTAACAACTTTATGCTGACCCCTGACGGGCGGGAGAATGCGGTTTTCGCCCTTGCCAGCAGGATCAATCACTCTTGCGATGGGGGTGAGAACGCCTATTGGAGGTGGGAGGGGGGTGAAGGGAGGATTGAGTTTTGGAGTGGCAGGAGGGTTGAGGTTTGTTTCTTTGTTCCTCTTCTTTCTTTCTTTCTGGGTTTGAAATGGTGGAGTGGGATGCTGATGGGGGAATACTATCATAGGAAGGGGAGGAAATTACCCATTGCTACAGACCGGATTGGAGGATGGGCACGAGGAATAGAAGGTTGGCGTTAATGGGGGAGTATGGGTTTCTGTGCCGGTGTCTGGTGTGCGAAGGGTTCGATGAATGATTTTTCTTGCGGGGAAAGTTGGACTATGCGGGATCGCATCTGGTACCGATACTTGGATAGTAGAGCTTTCAGTATTCCGCCTTGCTCCGTTCTATTTGACCCAGACCGTTACATAGAATGAGACTCCGGAACACCAGCATTCTCAGACGGAAGACCAAAATCATATTGGAGGTTCACCATTATTGCTAGAGTTTCCCCGATACAAATATGCTACCTCGTGATCTCTACCGACCCTCGCCGCCCGGCGATAGAAGATATGTATAGTTTAGTATTCAGGAAATAGAGCCCATCTCAGCTGCGCCCCTGACCGTATATCAGATTTAGAAAGCCATCCAAGGGGGCAATGTACTATACCGCATATTACAAGCACAAGCGTTTGCAAGTAAGAGTGCCATATTATTTATTCGCAGTACCACAGCATCAGTAGCGAGCTCCCGATACCCAGGTTTTGCGAGGGCAGATAAAGTACAATGCAGACCACCGCTACAAGTACTATACAAGAAACTCTTAGCTTTGCCTCTCTACCCGAGTACAGTACAGACACGGATAGACAGGTACGATAGCATTGTCCTCGGTATGATACCTCTCAATTGCGAAAAAAAATCCGTTTCCTATAAATTAATTTAGTAAGAGTTTGCCGAAGTTTTTTTTTCTTCTTTCTTTTTTTTTTTTTCCAGAATTGTACGATAAGGTTCCCAGGTTCTTCACAACATATCATTCGTGAAATTAGAGTATGATAGTGTAATCGTAGATTGAAACGTCATCGTACAGCCAGTCCACCCGCAGTAAGCGCTTATAACAGTTTTTGAACACCTACTTTCAGTTTCTAGAACCTCCAGGTTCTACCAGAGCGACAAGCAAAAAACCCCATTCCTACCGGTACTCTTACCCACCCGTGGCAATCCGGGTGAATGGATTGGATAGAAATTCAATAGTCTACCCAACAACCCACAACGACCCCAAAACTCATATAAAGCCCGATACAATAGCATGCTAAGCCGCACGCTTAAATCATATCATATCTTATACTTATAAAGGAAATTCCCCAGTCATCACCCCAGTCCCGTGCCCTTCTCAATTAGATACAGTATTTAACTTGAAGAAACAAAACACGGTGCTTATATCTCCTTGGTCTTGTAAACCTCTCGTCAAATAACCCCGATTTGATCTCCGACATGAAAGGGATGTTGGTTCTTCCCTTGGGTGCGACGGAGGGGGACTACAAGTGTGATTTCATACCTGTATAAAGTCATTGTAGAAGGTGGTACTGTACTGTACAGTGACGCCAGTATTCTTCTCCCAATATCAACCCATATGTCCCCTCACCAAACATTTGCTGTCCAACCCCGAATCATGATCCTATTCCTCCCCGACAGCTAGAATAGAAATTTCTTATCTAAAAAATAAATTACATAAAAAAGATGAATTATATCACGACCAGAAACTAGCACAACGAAACACGGTAAGTTAGCTAAATACAACAAAATGCGCAAGTTCACGGACAAAATATTAATAGATACCCCTTATCCTTTACACCAATAGCTATAAACAAAAACTGATAAATCTTCAGGAAATTACATGAGCAAATATCCAGCAAGTTTACAAAAGGCATATATACATTCCCAAGGGATCTCCTTACCACACTCCTAGCCAAAGAGAATTTTCAACTTGGGGTTTTAGGACCAGCCCGGAAGGGGGAGGACCTCTGCGAAGGTGGGCGGTACATACGTCTTCGGAGGGTTTGGCAATGCCCAGAAGGTTTGTGGGTGGGGAGTAGCGGCAAAAGTTGTGAGCACCGCAATGGCGCTGTCATGGATATGGTACATATCCGTGTTCTAAGATGTGGGAAAGAATGGGAGCACCATCGCCGGGCCCAAACAGCACCGGTGCCTGGAGGTTTCGGTGCTTGTAGCAGGTTCACTACAGCACTCCTTCACACCGTGACATAGAGGTATGCCAGATCGGTGTTCGGCACTTGTTGTCCAACCTGTCGGGGTTGATAGCTTCTCCCACAGTAGTAGTTTAACCCAGCATACGAGAATGGTGTTACGCCTTCGGGGTCAGGCCTATCGGGGCCGACATCCTCCAGTTCCAGCAGCAGTTTTGCCACTCCTTTGGGTCCCTCCACAGCAGCAGACCATAGCCGCGTTCCGCACTCGTTGTCAAACCTATCGGAGTTGACCACTTCCCGCCTCAGTAACAGTTTCATCACTCCTTCATGTCGTAACACAACGGCCCAATAAGTTGTGGTTGGAATTTGGAACCTAGGATTCGAGATACCGCTGACATTACTTAGAATCTAGATGCCGGGGTTGGAGAGGAGCTGGAATAAACGTGGTGTCTGGGGAACACCATCGGCCCCGTTTAAACATGCAATGGTGGAGGAGCTGTTTGCACTGTGGCCAATGAAGATTGATCGAGCACGGGTATCCATCGTGCTCGCACAAGGGACCTAGCATAAAAGCTCCTGCGATCCACTATCCCCGGTGAATGTCTCATATCCCGACTCAGAAACAAAAGCTTTTGAGAAGGATTAGTGCCTTCCTGACACAGAATAGACTAAGCACTCTGGATGTGTTGGACCTTAACTGGTACTTCCAATTCCGCAGTCAAATAAACCTACCATAGGTTGATGGGGGGGAGGGGGGGGTTCTGATAGTAACATGATAACCAATCCCAAGAGCTCTTACCGAAACTTCGTATCCTTCCCCGACAAGAATTACAAAGAGTGAAAGTAGCACACTTGATGATCCTCAAGAAGTTTACTCGTGCCCACGTTACCCCACCACCTCTGCCCCACAAGTTCCAGCCAAGCCACCCAGCCATATTGGGAATAGAGGTATCATAACGGTCGTGTTGAAACGGAGGTAATGATCGGATCGGATGTTTTACACTATGAATGGCTGAGGCTCAAGGGGAAGGGAGTAAAGCGACTGGATCGAGGGTAGAAATATTCACTTGATTGGTGTGACGATGGTTCGGGAGAGGAGGGGGGGGGGCAGGAAAGGAGGAAATTTATATGGGGGAAAGTTTTCCAATACTAACGCATTCCACTGACGAGTACCCGTACCCGTGCGACCCAGTGCGGATATCTCCAACAAGCTAGCCAAACTAATTCTCAAGTGACACTACACGAACCCCAACAAACCCAGATATCATACCACCCTAGCAGATCTACCCCCCTCCCCTCCTGCCAATACAGTACGCATACACACACCTTACCAATGTCACAAGATACCATGCCGCAAGTAGCATTGAGCAGGGGGCCAACCCCATGTCATGACCGCTAGTAATCGCATGGACACCCCCCACCATCATATCATACGATACATTGCTCGATACGGCGTTAGTACAGCAGGAGACTCACAGAGCGCACAATGGATGGTCAGGCCATTCACTGAAGTGGTCGCTGCGCGAAAGGAGACTTTGTTCCTTCCCTTCTTCTTCATTATTTGTGAGGCATTGAAGGGGGTTGCGGATGGGTGTCGGGGAGGCATTTCTTATCGTGTTCTTTAAGTTTTGCTCCGTCAAAGTTGGCGTTGTAGTTGGGCATGGGGGATGGTTAATGGAAGATGGGGGAGGTAGAGATCGCATCTGCTCAAGCGGAGCGGATGTTGCGGTACTATTTCTAAGGAAGCCATTCAGTGTACTCCCCTAGTGCTTACAAGACTTCTCGTCTTTGAAAAAACCAGAATGATTGAATCCAAAGACGGTAGTTTCAAGCACGGAGGGTGGTTTAAGTGTATTCGTGATGAAGTGGGTCTAGTGCTGGAGTACAACATAGCAGCCCCCCGAAAAGAAACACCCAGGCAATCCGAGCATCACCATTGTAGTCGGGCAATCATTAGCAACACACCTTACTTTGAGTAAACCTTTAAGGAATACCTCTATCAAGGTTGTAAAAAAAGGCCTAAAAGGGGGCATGCCCGAAAGGCGAGTCGAACGCCTGATCTTCGCATTACGAGTGCGACGCCTTACCAACTTGGCCATCCGGGCGGATATTGTTTGCCGCCTCGGAATAAACTAATTGTAGTGATTCCTGTTTCTGAATATCTCGGAAACATTTTGCTCTGAAGGATTTTGCCTCCCCCCAATCAGAGATGATACAAGTATTCAGCTCAACATTCTAATAGTTACCTATGGCCGGTAGCACCGTATGAACCCGCCAAATGGAGTATCTCCGTGCAGGGTTCTGATCCCCGTTTGAGACAAAATCTCCTGGAAAACCCGGTACTGAACGAGGGAAATATCGTTTTAACCGCTGTCAAGAAGCCTCAAGCTCCCGTTAATCTACCGGTGCCGTACTACCACCCCAAGTCCGCTTGTTTGAGGAGATCAAACTTTGTCAAAGGGCTACCTAGCCCGACGAGCAACACAGTAAGCATGTAACCGTCAAATGCTGTGTTCAACAGGCTTTACGTGGTTGTCGTTGAGCCACAACAAAAATGCAGACAACCATAGTAAATGCATGCCAAGGAACCTCAGCCCCGCGATGCCGACCCCCTTCCCCTCCTAATGACCCTGAGACCCTCAGCTGAACTGTGAACACGCCCTCCCGTGCAACAAACCTTCCCAACGAAAACCGAAAGTACTTTTTTCCTGGGGAAACCGGCTCGCACACCTTTGTTAATTTTATCTAGAACCTCTCCCAGCAAAGCCCACCCTAACCAGAACCATGGCTCAAGCTGCAAAGCGGATCACTCGAGTAACGATCACCGTTTGTCCATCTTCAAGGAATAAAGCTAATGGATGTTCGTGTCGCAGGAGTATACCGAGATCGAGGCGAACCCTCCTCAGGGTATCACAATCCAGCCTATTGATGAGGATATGTTCAAGTGGAATATTGAGATTACAGGTCCTAAAGAGTCCATTTATGCTGTTAGTTCTCAAAGTCACACAAGTTCAATTGCTATCACGTTGTAATGGAACAAAGCTAACCCCAAGTTTTTTCTCTCAGGGTGGGACTTTCAAGCTTCTCCTCACACTTCCGACAAACTACCCATTCAAACCTCCGGTTTTGTCCTTCCAGACAAAGATCTATCACCCGAACGTTACCAACGATGACAAAGGGAGCATGTGCCTTGGTATATTGAGGAGCGATCAGTGGAAGCCTAGCTGCAAGATCTTGGCAGTCCTAGAGATGGCTCGCGGGCTGCTCATGGAACCGAATCCGTGAGTCAAAATACCATACCCATCTTCCCCGCGCATCTAAAGTTTGAGAATATATTGTTGACCCGAACAAACGGATAATGCAGGGATGATGCCGTTGAAACCTCTATCGCCGAGCAATACAAGAACGACAAGGCTGCGTTCGAGAAGACGGCCAAGGCTTGGGTCAAGCAATACGCAAAGTAGATGATTGTGCATGCCAAAATGGGATAAACCAATAAACTATTCCTTTTTCTTTTTCTTTTTCTTTCTCCCTTTCTGCTTTCCCTCTTCTTACATGTCAATCATGGAAACCAGCGTTCAGAACTCAGGAACAACTATGGAAGTGTTGAGGATGTCAGGGGGTTGAACAGGCATAGGGCGTTTTGGCTGTCTTCTTCCTCCCCTCTTCAACTCTTTAGTTGTGCTGGTCTTCTCCCTTTTTGCTTTATTATCGTGTTTACTCGATTATCTGCTCGCATACAATAGCAACATGTGTCTCCGCAATAGAAGAGGAGAAGGCAGGAAACTCAGAAACTCAGCATCTCGTGTGGGCAAGGCATGGTCCTCGCATCTTATGACGGCTTATCGTACCGCGTATCGTACCTATTGCCAATCAATAAATACCCCTGAATTACCCACTTGGCATGTATGTACCAAAATTGGAAACCGAATCGCAAGCAATACTACCGGTACAGACTCTATCACGCAACTATACTCGAGTGCTCCATTAGTTCACAGATGCGTTGGTGGAACGTTTGGCCATGACTATTTACGGTGCAATCACGTTCGTACGTAACCTGCTGTGCGGAGAGAGGGTGCCTGTGCATGAGTATAGTATGACGGACCCTCCCCCCGAATGAGAAACATGAGAGCTGAGGTCGACGTCGGATGCTTGTGATATTACACGGTGTGATATTACACGAAGCCAATTGAATCCTTGTAAATCCATCTGACCCGGGGATGACAGGAAACGCGTTCGACAAATATGACTGTGAAAACGAGATTAAAATTGCGGTGATGGGTGCTTGTTTCGTTATGAATTCTCTCGGTCATCGTCGGAGGGAAGCAAGAGAGCTTCGATGCGATCGGGCTATTATACGGTAGGATTTTCTCATGCGCTACCGGTATGATATTATTATTATGATTCTCGGAGCAGTTGTGCTTGTTTATTCTGTACGATATTATACGATATGATAACTTCCCATTGTGATTTTTTTTAAAAAAAAAATTGGTAGGAATTATGATACCGGTATTACGATTCCTGGGGCGAGAGAAACAAAAAGGGAGGGAAGGAGGAAGGAAGGACGGATCTTTGTTTTTTGTTCTTTGTTTCCGACTTTTATGACTGCACAGTACTCGTACTCGTAGAGTATTGTAGAATAATTAAGGGAGGTTAGTGATGAGACGGATAGGGGGGTACGGGCCGAAGATATACCGGTATGTGGAGGACGCGGGGTGTGGAGATACTGTACCTGTACAAGTACGTATATCCTCGGCCACGGGTGTTTATGTTGGCCTCATTACTAATCCCCATATCGTATTATCACCCACATACACACTACTGGTATCATAACTAACTTGGCTTTTGCGGGCAGCTAGCATGGACAAGCCTGTGGTAACAGGAACGACAGAAGCTATTGGGGTCTCCTAATGGGCCGGAGCACCAGTAAGCTAAGTTGCCGTAGACAATAGTGAACTAAGCAGACTACCAAGTTATCAACAGTAGCGCACCACTACGGCGTATGATAGAGTTGCCGATATCGCTAATAACGATAGCGATCCCGCTTTGTTGGACGCGGCCCGGTACCGTACCGCACCGGTACGGTAGGAAGTAAGGGGTTGGGCGGGCCGGCTGGCTATGGGCCACCGGTGGTTCAGCCCCGAGTACGTGCCGCTTGCTACACTGTGCTCTTTCCCGTAATGGAAGGAAAAGGTTTTTTTTTTTTTTTGATGACAGTGGGATGTGGTACGAGTACTTGTGAGGTATCACACGATAGCCGCTGCTTATTGTACTAGTACTAGTACAAGTACAAGTACGAGTACTTAGGACGGACCGGGAGCTTACCGTACCGTACTCGTAGGATACCGATATCCTAAGGCTCAAGTCAGGGGAGGAGGGTAAAGCCAAAAAAAGCAAAACCGGGGAATTGGAAAAAATTTTGTTCCTTCCTTCCCTCCGCTTTCTTTGCTGCATGCCCAAATTTAACCTATGATATCCCGACACGGACACCTGCTCGAGCTCGAATTGCCCTATCAACACCCTTGACTAAGCACTTGTACTCATACAGCACTCACGGCCCTTTTTTTCTTTCCTCCTTCCTTCCTTTGAGGTTCTTTACTCTTTACTTTCCATTACCGTGCATGCTGGGTTCCCCCTTTTAAGCGTGGCTTGGCCGAGTATGGTATTTCCATCCGCCTGCTCGCTCCGGGATGGGGAGGAAGGAAGGAAGGAAGGAGGAAGGAGCGGGTAACTTTTTTCCGAAAAGTGTTTGTGTCAGTGTCTCATCATAACTAGCGGAAGAATGAAGGAATGAAGGAAGGGTCGCCATTATATACAAACCTCTCTCTCTCTTTTGACCGCTCTGGGTTTGGTTTGGTTTGGTCAGACTGAGCTTGCAGGGTTGTGGATGCACGGATGGGCTACGGCTGTGAAGGGCAGGGCAGGGGTAGAGAAAAGCCTAGTTAGACAAGATATTATTAGAGGGATATGGAGATGAGGCACGTACTTGTATCATGCTCGAGTGCATACCACATCTCGGCTTCTATCCGTCCGTCCATCCGGTTTGCATTTCTTTTATGGCAGGCAATTCAACAAGTCAACCAGTCAAATGATCAGATCGGAAGTAATAACGATGTTTAAGAATTACTCAAACGCAGAGAAAGGGCAATTGGAGAACTCTTTACCCCTCCTCTCTCCACATGCATCCCTTTCTCCCTTCCCCCCCCCTCTTCGACCAAAGACAAAGCTTAATCCGGCGGGGATTCCGCACCACACGGGCTTGTTACGCGTTTACGCGCATATGTATGTGTTCGCAAGAGGGTATACTGCGGCACCTGTTAAAGTGCTTGTTATTCGTTCCTGCATTTGCGAAGAGTTGGATATGGGTATTGAACCGGGTTGCGTTGCGATGGGGTACGTTGGGGTTCGCTTAGGTGGTTTACATGATACGAAACGGTATAATGCCGCACGTGGTCCATTCCCGGGGTTTTCGGATTCTCACGCATTCGCGGTTGGGGTAGAAAGCGCACTGTACGAGAACTCGTGCTTGTGGGCTTAGGGATTGGTAGTGTTGTAGGCGATAGCGGCAGCGATGCTGCACGTATCTGGTGTTATCATATTGTGCTCAAGCGTGCTTGGAGGAGTGGGGTGGAGAAGGGGAAGGACTTATTTCGATTGTCCTTTGGGGTTTGGGGTCAAATTGACCGATTGACCAGTTGTCTGTCCAGATCGCTGCGATTGGAAAGGAAATACCGGTAGGGGGATTGTATGATACTGTATCGCAGGTATCGTATTAGAAAGGCTCCGCGATGGGCTACCCAGTTGGTTAATTGTTGAGTTGCTGTGGGGGGGGTCTCGTGAGCTATAATAATACTATTATTGAAGAGCAATGGGAGGCAGGATCTGGAAAAGGAAGCGAAGGCTGCAGGAAAATACCGCCGGCAGGTACAGTACCAGTACTGGTACTCGAGTAAGTTACCAGTGCTGCACAGTAGCCAAATACCTAGTCCGATACTCTGTAGCACTGTCGGAGTCATCATATTCCCGTTTGTGGGGTTTCTTCTGCTCGAAGAAAAGGAGAATAAATTTAGTTGTAATGTAGTTAGTCCTTACCTGAGTTCTTACCTCAGCCGCCACTAGACTCCCCAAGCAGTCATTACTTTTTATTACCACTTTGGTCACCTTCTACGGTACGGTACTCGAGTACTTTGCCCATGCCCCCATGCCCCCATGCCCCCATGGTCTGCTGCGCTCCGTCAATTTTTGGGTCTTTCTACTCTTCCCCCTCCTATCATCCTCCTGAGTGATGCAGTGGTATGATATTTCTTTTTGTTTTTTTGTTTCCCTCTTTCCTTTTTCCTTTCTCTCAATCCATTTTTTTCCTGCTATAATAAATTTACGGTACCTGGTACTTGTACCGTCCTCCAGTACGCAACGCCGTTGCGAAAGGAAAAGGCGGAAACTACTTCTCTAACTTAACTGTTTGCGGTAACCCACCAACCCCAACAACGAAAAGAAAAGAAAAAAACCACACCGCGCCCGGCAAATTGACTTGCCCCCGAAATTGATGGCGTGCGGGAAATGTCGCACTTGTGTGCTCACCGCTTTGGCTGCCTCTAGGTGCTCGTTTTCCCTCAATCTCCAATTGGCGATGCCAGTGGAGGGAGATGGAGAGATCACGAATCGGCTGACTGTGGGAATCGGGGCATGATCCGGTTGCGGACGTATGGGGTGGATAGAAGGAATTACTGGTCGTTCCTGAGCTCGTGTAGCATTACTTTGACAGTCCAACATAGCCTGGTATCGACTTCGTATGGGGGAGTGGGAAAGCATGCCAAAATTGCAAGGCGGGTAAGGGAAAAAATTTGGTGATTGCGGTTCGTCGTAGTTGCGGGAACGAATCATGCGCCGTATATCGATGCTCTTCGGTGCTCTTACAAAAGAGGTTGAGGGCAATTGATAGGTAGAAGCTTTTTATTGTGCAATGTGCCATGAATGGTGGTGGTGGTGATCCCCCCCGAGACGTTTTACTTTAGTGGGAGCGTTCCATTTACTTTTTCCTTCCTTTCCAAGCTTCCATCCTTCGTCCATCATGGTTACTTTTTCTTTTGTTTCGCAAGGCATTACGCCAAGGACCTCGAAGAGCCAAACGGTCTGAAGATCCACTCTCATGGGGCACAGGTGCTGTACTCGAGTACGAGTACAATTCGATTCCATCTTCGGATGGTTGGAGTTGTGTATACTTTGAAAGGTATCGATCGCTTCCCACCCCCTTTGTTTTCCTTATTCTCACATTTTCCTTGGCTGGCGGGGGCTGAAAAATGCTACGAGTACTATTGAGTAATAATATGTGAGGTTAAATCAATTGACGATCTCCCTTTTTCTCGCTCGGCAGTTAGCTAAAGCACAGCGGGAACGCTTTTGTGTGATTTTCTGGTGGGGCAGGAGAACCCGGCGTTTTCGATGGACCGGGGTCAGATGGGTGGGTTGAGGGAAGCATGGTTGTGTGATAAGGGGGGTTCCGTTTTCTTACCATAGCCTACCTAGTCCCGGGAGATTGGGTCCTTGGTAATTCTTTTTCTTTTTTCCTTCTTCCTTTTCGAATTTCCCTCGTTCTCTGTTCCTTTGTGCAGGAAGTGCTCGGATGAACTGGGTTTAACTTGGTTGATATAAAGTTATGGGGGTAAATGGTTGTGATACTATGTTATTGTGGGTGGAGGACGGGTGTACTGTACTCGAGTAGTTATGTCACTCGGGGGGAAGGGGGGAATTTTTATGTAAGTCCAAAAAGACTAGGCGTTTAATCTGGACGAATGTCTGGGAAGAGAAGAGGGGAAGACGGGTGGAAATTGAGGGTCAATTGTTTCCCAAAATTGCTTATTATATCATACAAGATATTACGAAAGAGGGGAAGGAGAGAAAGGGAAGGAAAGAGGGAAAGAAGGAACTTATCATAGAAGATGATGCCACCGTAAAAGTACCGTACTGTCGTACTTTCACTCTGGCGGTCAACCAATACTATTCGCCATGCTCACTCGCGCTCTGACCACCATACCTCCCAATTCAGTTGAGCGGAGAAGGGTTGACAATAGAGAAGGAAGGAGATACAAGTGTGTGTGTACTCGAGTATGGGGGGGTGCACGAACGAATTTCTTCCCAAATTTACCAAGAGTTACCGGTAGTTCGAATCCAGTACATTGATTCACATACGCTGCAAATTTCAAGATCAAACTTCAATAAAAAATTGGGACCCTCGGCTCGCCGCACAGACTACTGCACAGTTGCCCACGCCGTGTCACTGGTTCCCATCTCGGTCTGCGGCCGTCCCAGCAGGGGAGAAACGAGCAGTGACAGCGCCTCCCTCCTACCCTCAACCCTTCTCATCACGTCCCAGATCTTGTTTGTTATTCTCCTCTTCCCTCTCCTCCCCCTCTCCTGCCTCATCTGTCTGTGTCTGTCATTCTCAAGTGAGGGAGGGATTGTGTGAAAGGGGAAAAAAGGATTCACGAAATCACACCACACCGCACTGGATCATACTCCGCAGCTACCACAGCGACAACAAACAGACCCAGACTAGGACCTAGACCTAGAACCCGTGGCAAGCAGCAAGCAAGTAGTATCATAGAAGCAGGAAAGAAGCTTGCGGGCGAGGAGAGAGAGATATCGAGGGGGCCAGCATTCCTCATCCCACTCGTCTCCCCTGCAGTTCCAACAGACATCAATCGATCTCAACTAAGTTAGCGAGTATGATGGTGCAAGCTGCTGTCTAATACTCCCCCGTCTTTTGTGATTTTCTTCTCTGTTATCCCTGGGTTTTCCAAAACCATCCCTTTCGTTTCTCCATCATACCTTTCAGGGAGTTGTCTCGGTCTCTTCGTTTTATCATTCCTCTCGTTTGTTTTCAACGCTACCGTACCTGCTGCTTGCTCCAGTGCAACCACCAAACAAAAGGGCCCCCAACTACCGCGGTAGCTACTGCCCTTCTCTTAAAACCAGGGAAGCTTGTCTGATCGTCATCCGTTTTCTCTCTTTGCATTTTCCCTATCCTCTCTATCTCCGTCTCCCCGTTGCGAGAAAAAGACAAACAAAAGAAAATACCGCCCTCCCTTCGTCCGGCCCCTAGAGAGAGCTTCCTCTTTTCTTTCTTTTTCATTGTTATTACCAATAAGTTGGTTGTTTCGTGACGGACTTCTACGATGACAACCTCTCACCCAGACTCCCGTCAACCCTCTCCGAGACCTTCTCCTAGACCTTCTCCCCGGCCATCCCCCCGGCCTTCTATGGATGAAGGAGTTCGACTACTCCAGCAGCAAGAGCCTCATTCCCCTTTCAGGCCTGACGAAGAATTGCATTTTGACTTTCCCCCTGTCGTCCTTTCGCCAAAGGAAATTACTCCCCAGGAGTACTCTTATTCTCACCTGCCACGGGCTCCTGTAAGAAAGATGATTTCTGTTCCCGAATTACGAGATGGGCAACGGGGTCCAGGGTTGCCATCGAACCCATCCATGTACAGACAAAATTCAGCCGGTAGACCAAGCCCGCGGATGCGGCAGGGCTCTGAGGAACGTGGGAAGGATAATATGGGGGTTGGGCCAGAAATGCTGTCAAAACAGATTCATAGGAGGATGATGGAACAGGAACAGAGTTGGGGCTCTCCAGACAGTTCATCCGGCGGCCGTGATAGGTTGCTTCGACAGAAGAGCATGGAACGGGGAATAAAGGTGGGGTTACCACCGCCAGGTCATCCACAGGGTACGCGAGGTGTGAATGGGCAGAGTAAGCGGGGTCGAAGAAATGGTGAACGAACGGAATCGCCTACGCCGTGCGCGGCACCCCCGGGGCTCAAAATGCCGTTGGCTTTCAATTCGATTGCGCGAGAGAGGGGATTCACGACTGGCTCTCCTCACCCCGGTACCCAGGCGTTTTCTTTGCGAAATGGTCCTCCTACACCGAGAGGGTGCCCTTCCAACAGTCCGTCGAGCTCTGCTCCTGACCTTTTTGCCAACAGCGAGAACAGAAATTATCCTCCGCCGCGAAGCGATCCCAGGAATCCGCCCAGGTCTCATCCGTACACACCCCCGCAACCACCCTATAGTAACAACACTAGCGCCAACACATCCCCACACAGCTCATTTGGGCCTCTAAGCGCCACTGATGAGGTGCGCACCTCGTTTCGCTCGGCCTTATCTGCTGCGGGAGAGAACCGTTCCAGCACTTTTACCAGCTCCTCGGAGCTAACGGAGGATAGCCATGCTATGACTGTTGACGAAGCCATCGGAATGTACGGCAGTGATACTGACGAAGAAATCTCCGAACATCCTACTTCAGAGGAAGAGTGCCGGAGGAACAAAGGTGACTCTGTGCTTGGAGGAGCAACATCGCGACAAGGATCCGTGTCGGACGAGGGTAGTGCGAGGGCAGGATCAGCTTTGAGCGGTGTGTCGCGGCAAGCTAGTTTTGCTGACGACAGGGAACAAGCAAGGTGCGCGAGTGATTCTGTTTTGGAAGGAGACGTTTCTCCATCGGTTAGGTCAAGGATGGCGGAGCAAGAGAGTGTCGTGCAGATGGCGCTAGAAGAGCAAAAGGAACAGCTGGAAGCAACCCATGAAACCCAGACGGTGGAACCTGCTGGTGCGGAATCCGGTTTGAAAGAGGACCTCAAGACCGACACGAAAGGAGACGAAGTGCCTAGATATAGGGATACTTTCGAGCCTGAATCTAGTGCTCAAGGGAATGGGCAACGTAGTGATCACGAAGAGCATGACACGAATTCGTCTGTTGAACTAACTCCCACAGGAGAAGCCCTTAAAAAACTCGAATCCAAACTAGTTGCGCCCGAGCCGAGATCCCCAACGTTTCTCCCCGCCGGGGATCCATCAGATACACCACAAAAGAATCCCTCTATGGCTAATGGGGTGCCTCCTAAAGATGCTAGGGATCGTTACGGGTAGCCAACCTTGCTCCTGGGCTGGAACGCTTAATGCTAACTTGTCGTAGGTTTCGAAAACAAACTCAATACGTGACTCTTCAAGAATATGACGAGTGGAATACACGCTACGAAGAAACTCTACGGAGGCGGCGTGGGAAGTGGGAGATATTGCTGAGGGAGTCTGGCTTGTCACCGAGTAGCGAGGGAGGTCCTGTACGATTCCCACCTAAGTCGACCAAGGTCAAACGTTATGTGAGGAAAGGTATTCCTCCAGAATGGAGAGGGGCGGCTTGGTTCTGGTATGCGGGAGGTCAAAAAATGCTTAACAAGCATCCTGGATTGTATGATGAATTGGTCAAGAAGGGTAACGGCTTGGTATCTCCTGATTCTGAGTTGATTGAAAGAGGTTTGCTGTCCGTCTAAGTCACTTGTGGTGATTCTTACCAAACATGGATAGATCTCCACCGCACCTTTCCCGATAACATCAAATTCAAGCCCGATGCTTCCCCGGGTGCCCAAAGACTTTCCAAAATTCAACAACAGCAGATGGAGACGCCGATCGTACAACAGTTGAGAAGAGTCTTGGTTGCCTTCTCGCTTCACGTTCCCAAAGTTGGTTACTGCCAGAGCTTGAACTTTTTGGCTGGTCTCTTGTTACTGTTCATGAGTGAAGAGAAGGCCTTCTGGATGCTGTACATTCTTACCCATACTCATCTTCCTGGAACACATGAGGTAAACTTGGAGGGTTCTAGTGTTGATCAGTGGGTGCTTATGATGAGTGTACGGGAGAGTTTGCCTGGTATCTGGGCCAAGATTGGTGGCGATCTCGATGGTAGCGATTTTGATCCTGACTCTGCGAGGCTGCCGCCGGTAACTCTGTGCACTTCTTCGTGGTTCATGAGTGGGTTTATCGGATCACTGCCCATTGAGAGTGTCCTCCGAGTTTGGGATTGTTTGTTTTAGTATGTTTTCATATCTGCTGCTCACTTTAGCGCACGTGCTAATTTTTTACGAATTATAGCGAGGGATCAAAGACTCTCTTCCGAATTGCTCTCGCTATCTTCAAGACCGGTGAGCCGCAAATCAGGGCTGTAAATGACCCGATGGAGATCTTCCAAGTTGTTCAGACAATTCCAAGACGCCTCATCGACGCGGGTGCTATTATCGAAGCGTGCTACCGCCGGAGAAATGGTTTCGGACATATCAGTCAAGAAACTATCGATCAACGGAGGCAAGACCGCAGGGACGCCTTTGCAGCAGAGCGGGCAGCGATTGCGAGGGGCGGTGTCAGAGCTTCTAAGGATGATCAGGCGCTTCGGAATCATTTTGGAGGACCATTGCAGCTTCACGGGCATCACGACTTTAGCAGAAAATTCAAGAAGATCTTGGTAAAGACATAGTTCGGGTGATGTTTTGATCTTGAAGCTAGCATCTTTTTTCACTTTTATATCCTTTTTCATTTTGTTTTTTGGGTGTTTGAAGGCAAGGCGAGGGTCTTTTTTTTTTCACATCTCTTCCTGTTTTCCGTTCTCCTTTACTGCTACCAAAAGTTTGGTGTCTGCTATGCATTTCCTTTTTTGCTTTATTCCTTTTGTTTCCCAGTTCAGGGCCATATGTTGGGGACTAACTAGGGAGGTCATCACCATAAGTACCATCACACGATAAAGTATGAAATGTATTTTTTCATTTTTTATATTTGTTTTGTTTCGCTTCCTCTTTCCACCTTTCTTTCTTGGGGGACCAGCAGCATCATTATCATTCTTATTGGTGTTTTCGCCATCATTCATCAGTAACTTCTAACTTTTAACCATTTTTTTTTTTTTTTTTTTTTTTTCATATCCAGTTGTCTGTCAACCTACTTACCTGTTCATACATTCCTATTCTTGTTCCCCCTTTTCTTTTCTTTCTTTTTATAAATATTTACTTTACATGGGGCTTTCTTCTGGGCGTTTCCTTTTTTTCTTCTATTCTGTTTCGATTGAGAAACCTTATATATATACCTTGTTTGCCATCACTTTTTTTCATTGTTAGTGTAGAAAGTTCTCGAGATACTGTGCCGTAGTGGAGCGGAGTGGAGCGGAGTGGAGTGAAGGGAACCAATCAAAATTACATCTAGGTCTTTTTTTTGTATTGTAATATAGTGTTGTGGATAGATGAATATAGAAAGTTTCGGGCTCGCGTCGGTGGGGGCGGGGGTCGGAGATGTTTCCACCACTCTACTGTGGTATTACCTGGGGTTTGAGGGTGGTCTGAGGAGGAATTGGATATGTACGACACGGGAAGAAAAGGAGGGGAAAGAGTGGGGCGGTAGTTGGGTTCATAGTGCCCGCTTGGCATATTATCGGGTTGGTGCAACAGCTACTCTTAAGTTAGTGTTTGACGTCGGTGTTTCTGTTTGGGGTGTCGTATTGCTCGAGTGGGTATTCTTCGACTCTTGAAGTTTCCGCCTTGACGGGAGGGGGGCGGGAACCTTTTCTGGAAGTTTACCTATGATACAGTGGTGGTAGTTGGCTGCGGCGCTGGTACAGTACCACCATGGCTTGCATTGGGGATGGGTGTTGGTGTTTTCGTATTGTGGGAGTTACAGGCACCTCGAAACACAATGCGACCCACACTTACCGCTAAATCGAGGTTTTTTAAGCTTTCTAACCTCATCATACTCGAGTATATGATACCTTACTCACTCGTCTTTGGCAAGAATACCTCCGTATCCCGAATATTTGGCTAGGCTGCAGTAAAATATCGGCCGGCGGAGGTATTATCGGCAAAGACGAGCGAGTATCATACTTATGGTAGCACTGAGTGAGAGGGAATGACGATAAACAAACAATCCCGATACTCATGATATCATACCCTAAATTTACCGTGAGGCTCCGCTGCTGCATACCAGCAATCAAAAGCCGAAGCAACCGACTGACAAGGATTGTATAATTTGTTTTTTTCCCACTTCGCATCTCACATTTTCTCCCACTACAACATGAATATCGGGAGTCTTTTGCCGAAGCCGCCGGGGAAGGGGGTTGGTGATAATCGAGGGGGGGATTCTTCTACGGGTTCGGCGGTTGATGCATCCGGTGGGGATGGTGGTCTCGTGGGCCAATTGAGTTCGAATCCGCTATTTACAGGAGTACCTTACCTCCGCTATCGCGGGAGCCTATGTCACTGACGGGAATCGAAGGGAGTAGGCATAATCCTCCTAACCGCAGCCGCACAGCTCGCCCGCAAGTCGTTAACGAGCCTGAGCACACACCTCCGAAATCAAATGCTCGTGACGCTGGAAATACCTTCGACGGATAAGTCATACGATTGGTTTCTGCACTGGATGTCGCAGAACTCCTCCTCCTCTTCGTCGCCCCGGTCGACGTCCAAATCGTTGCTGGAATGGATGACGACCTTTCGCCCAGCCCCGCGACACCTCGCTGTCGAGACGAAATACATCCGGCACGCCTCGGGCGGTATTTCCACCGACTTCACACTCCTGCCCGGCACCGGTCGGCACTTGCTGAATTTCCGCGGGAACTTCCTGAGGGTTAATCGCGAGCGCGACGCAAAGCGGGTGGACCTCCAGCGCGGCACGCCCTGGGAGTTAATCACCATAACCACCCTCTTCGCATCCCGGAGCGTCTTCCCGGCCCTGCTCCAGGAAGCCAGGGACCTGGCCGTGAAGCTGGAGGAAGGCAAGACAATAATATACACCTCCTGGTCAACGGAGTGGAAGCCCTTCGGCCGACCCCGGCGTAAGCGGCCGTTATCCTCCGTTGTGCTGAAGCCAGGCCTCAGCCAAGAGTTACTCACCGATGTAAAGTCCTTCCTGAACTCTGCCCGCTGGTACTACGATCGCGGGATACCCTACCGACGGGGATACCTCCTTTACGGCCCACCCGGCACGGGAAAGAGCTCGTTCGTGCAGGCGCTAGCGGGCGAACTGGATTATGGCATTTGCTTGCTGAATCTGAGTGAGCGTGGGTTGACGGATGATCGATTGAACCACTTGCTGTCGAATATGCCCGAACGGAGTATTGCCCTGTTGGAGGATGTCGACGCCGCCTTTGGCCGCGGGAGGGCCGTGACGGAGGAGGATGGGTATCGCGGCGCGAACGTTACGTTCAGTGGGCTTTTGAACGCCCTCGATGGTGTCGCGAGTAGCGAGGAGCGGATCGTGGTCATGACGACGAACTATCCGGAGAGGCTGGATGAGGCGCTTGTTAGGCCCGGGAGGGTTGACGTTAAGGCTGAGATTGGATACGCGGGGAGGGAGGAGGTGGAGGTTATGTGGGAGAGGTTCTATGGCGGAGAGAGTGTAGATGGAGTGGTTGGTGAGGAGGAACTGGCTAGGAGAGGGAAGTTGAGGGAGGTGTTTGTGGAGAGGTTGGAGGCTGCAGGAGCGTTTGAGGGCAGGTGGGGGGTTAGTGCTGCCAGCTTGCAGGGGCTTTTCGTCTATTTTAAGGGAAAGCCTGAGAGGGCAGTAGAGAATGTGGGGAGTTTGGTGCCGGAGGGGTTTAGGTGATTGTTACGGAGTGGGGGTTGTATATATGGGTGCGCTGTAGTTTCGACGGAATGTAGGAACTGCTCATTGCTTCTGCTACTCTTTACGGACTCTCGTTCTAAGGCCACACTGCAGCATGTCTTGAAGTGTTGTAAGAGCTGAGGCAGTGAGTTTCAGCCTTAACGAGTGCACTCTCCGATCCCTAGAGAGTTACTGGTCTACACCATTGAGCCTGCTCCCAGGTCTGTAAGCCTCACACTTAGGGTGTGTCACGTCAGGGTGATACTACCTCACTGCTGAGTATTGAAATCGCCAAACCCTCATTTTACCCCCGGCATGAGTTCGCGAATGGGTGGCCTGTCATGTAGATTCTGTTAGGGTCGATCCTCGTCCATACTGTTGCGGACGCCATAGTTCACCCATAATCGTGGGCCATTTCGTACACGGTGGCGAGGTTGGGGAGTGGTGCGGAGCTTTAAGATTCGGGGGGTATAGGCCACTTTGGAGGGGGGAGTACGAGGGGAGAAAGCAAGCACGAGTAAGAAGAAGAAGGCAGGGGAGAGTCAGTGGGCGAAAAGAGCAGGATGTTTCTTCTTTCCACTTTCATGATTGGAGCTTGAGCTTTTATTTTGTATAGAGGACTGGAATTTGTTTCTGTTTCTTTTCGGGACGCGTGTTGGTCGAGAGATTTATGATAACTCATACTTCATGGGCGGTACAGTACTGTACTCGCTTCATTTGGCATGGCAATTCACCTCTCGTCTCGTAACTATACGATTTCACTCCATTCTGCATGGGGCATGGGCATATTTTAGAAGGCGGTTTTCCGAGACTCTAGCGTTTCCCTTGCACAGTACAGTACTGTACTCCCTTACTCCGGCCTCGAAAAGGTCGCACATCAAACCATTCCATCCACGAATGATTCCCCATGACCCACTCGAGCATCCAGCCCGGCAGTAACTTAACTTAAGCAACGCACTCTGCCACCAATTGTCTAACCAACCAACCAACCAACCAGCCAGCCAGCCAGCCATTCGTCTACCGGACGGGGAACAACCGGATCACCCAACGTTGAACACTCTCTCTCAGCTCTCCCCCGCATCCCCCATTCTCATTCTTTTTTATCCCTCATTCCAGGTCCAAGCGCGGTAACCGGTACCGTGAATTGTACCAGTAGATTTGAGATAATCTGTTATTCCCCTCATTCACTGGTACAACGACTGTATGATGGCCCCACATTTTTATTCAGCCTGCCTTTTTTTTTTCTTTTCGTGTGGTGATGTATGGGCGAGAGGGTTAGTCTGCTTTAGTGCGGTTGGAGGAGGGGGTTAACATTGGGTGGAGAGTCGGAGTGAGAAATGTGTTCGAGGAGGGTTTACAATAGCAGTGCTGTACGGCGCTTCTTATGGTACTGCGTCCTGTACGAGTGCTCGTACTGTTCTGTGCTAGTGCAGCGCAATATAGACAACTACAGTACTGTGCAGTACCCTATGTACGAGTACTGTACTGTACCGCAGGGGACAAGGTTCTACAATACCAGGCTCAAGCCTTATTCAATTGAATTAACCTGCAGTGATTTTTATTTTTCATTATTATTAGTTACTCTGGGCGATTATGCGTTCGTTTGCGACAACTTGAAGCAGGGAAAGGTACGAGTAAGCAGGTAAGCAAGGGCTGGCCGCACACACACACCACATAATAAACCCCCTACAAAACCAAACTTCTCATCCGTTCCCTTCTCCCTCTTCCTCCCTTCCCTCCTTTGCTACACCCGCCAGCTCACGCCAGCGAGAAAAAAAATTAAGCTACTCCTCCCCCTCCCCAAGCGAACGAAATCGTCGTCGTCTTTCTCCCTCTCTCCCAGTCGAAAACGAGAAATCCCCTCTCCCATAAATCATTGTTCTTCATGGAAGTTTCGCTTATCCACGAATTTCCCGTTAATTCTTCTGTTTTGCACGTTCCAGCTTTCCTGCTCTTGCTCCTTGCCGTCGCACTGCGTCCTTGAAGTGAGTCCTGAAAGAAAAAAGAGGGAGACTAGTTGGAGGATTCCTGTTTTCCCATCGGCTGGGTTGGAAAAGGACGGGGCCTACTACAAGTAACTTACACACCCACGCGAGCCGGCAAGCAAGCAAAGCATCGCAGCGGAATTTACTTTCCCACATATCATACGAACATTCGTTCTGCATAACCATAGTGCGCATTGAATACTGGGGTCAAGGGCAAAGACTATCGATTTTTTCCCCTACCCCTCTAAATTTTCTATTTTTTTTTTTTTTTTTTTTAGGACTGAACTCTACCCTCTTGCCTTTTTTCCTACGGTCCCTTTCCCCTTTAATTTTAGAACACTCCACCTCCAAGAGCCAAGCCACGCTTACCGGCTACACACGGCCTTCATACCAACCCTACACCACACGAGAAAAAAAGCAAAAAAAGCAAAAACTATTAAGCGAAACCGAAACGGAAATGGCGGATATCTTCACCTTCGACCACGACCCCACCCCCCACGACCTCGACTCCCCGACCTTGTCGAAGCCAGTTTACGGTTTTGGCGGTGGTCGTCGCCGTGCGAGTATTACCGCCGCGGCAAATGTCGAGGGTGCTGGGAGTGTGAGTAGTCTTGCGGTTGCTGTTGCTGCGGCTAAGATTTCCCCGGGCGTGCCTGGAGGATTGGCGGCGCTGTTTCCGCACTCGGAGGTTTCGTCGCGGGCTCCGAGCGATGCTGGGGATATTAACTGTGAGAGGGTGCAGGAGAAGAATGGTGGTGGGAAGAGGAAGAAGAGGTCTAAGAGTAAGAAGAAGAAGGGTGGTTCTGGTGTGGCTCAACAACAGCAGCAACAGCAGCAAGGCAGGCAGAAGGGCGAGGGGAAGAAGGGTGGATCTGTTGCTAGGGTTGTTCCGGCCGACGACGGTGGGTTGAGTCCTGATTGGAGTTTCGTCAAGAGGAATATTAGTCCCTCTCCGTCGAGTTCGAGATCATCCTCCCCGCTGCGCAGATCAGGACTTTCGTCTCTATTGAGCCAGTCCCATCCTGGGGACCTGGCGCCCGCTAGATCTGGAAGTGATACTTCGGTTGAGTCGGAGAATGGCGATGCGTCTGCGGATATGGGGACGTATGAGGTTGCGCTGGATGAGGATTACATTGATGATGATGTCAATTCCCGTCCTGTGTCTCGTTCGGGCGTAGATCAGAGACGGAAGATGCATGCGGAGGATTTTGAGACTTTGAAGTGTTTGGGCAAGGGAACGTGAGTAGCTCAATTGGACCTTGTTTCCTGGAATGATATGTGCTGAGGGTGTGATAGCTATGGAACTGTCTTTTTGGTTCGTCATAAGGATACTGGAAAGCTCTACGCGCAGAAGCAATTTAAAAAGGCCAGTCTGGTGGTCCATAAGAAGGTGGTTGAGCAGACAAAGACCGAGCGCGCAATCCTCGAGTCTGTCCGTCATCCATTTGTTGTCAAGCTCTACTATGCCTTCCAGGACAAGGAGAAGCTCTATTTGATCCTCGAGTATGCTCAAGGAGGCGAACTTTTCTTGCATCTGGCTTTGTCAAAATTCTTCCCGGAGACCACCGCCGTATTTTACCTCGCAGAGCTTGTCCTTGCTCTCTCACACCTTCACCAGAACGTCGGAGTGGTGTACAGAGACTTGAAGCCTGAGAACTGTTTGTTGGACGCGGAAGGCCACCTCCTCCTGACCGACTTTGGCCTCAGCAAGGTTAAAACCGATGACTCTCGTTGCCGCTCCTTCCTAGGTACTCCTGAATACATGGCCCCGGAGATCCTCACTGGTGATGGCAAACGAGAGTATGGTGCTGAAGTTGACTGGTGGGGCGTCGGTGCCCTTGCTGTAGACTTGATGACCGCCGGACCCCCCTTTACAGGAAACAACAAGGCAAGAATCATCCACAAGATCGTTCACTCGAAACTCTCTCTTCCGTACTACCTATCCCAAGACGCAAAGGACTTGATAACCCGATTGCTGCGCAAGGACCCGACGAAGCGGTTGGGTCACAACATGCCGAAGGACCTGCACACGATCAAGAATCACAGATTTTTCAGAAAGATTGACTGGGAGAAGCTGGAGCGTAGGGAGATTGAACCGCCCATCAGACCTCTCATCACTGATCCCGAGCTCGCGGAGAATTTCTCGACGGATTTTACGGAATTGGGGTTGAGTTCGCCGGTCATGATTGGTAGGGGAGACGAAGAGGAGGATGAGGAGGGCTTGTTTGGTGGTTTCAGCTTTGTCGCGTCGAGTAGTTTGTTGGGGGAGAGATATTAGACTTGTGAATATTGCGATGTCGAAGGGCGAAGGTGGGGTTACTGGATTGCGCTCTTTCTAGAATTTCTAGACTACGTGGAACAATTGGTGTGGAATTACTTTGTTTTTGTTTTGCCTTTTCTTTGCGTTCGTTACTTGTTTAGACTCCATTGTACAGTGATATATTGTACCAGGGGTTTCTTATTCTTGTCCTGAGTAAAACATCGCCGCAATTTCTTATTCATCTTCACTTAATAAATTATTTCCTGGTTTTTGGACCGTGTTCCGTTTGTTCATGATAAACTGTTTGTAGACGGGCGCATCTCGGAGTATTGTACTTGGGTTATAGGTGACTTGCATTTGGCCTGTCTCACTGTGGACTGTGGGATCGGAGTACGGGTATTGGACTGAATTTTGAAATATGTTCTGAAGAATGGGGGGATTATGGGGTGGGGGTAGTTAAATTTCTGACTTTATGAAGCCTTTGGTGTTTATGGATATAATAGCTAGTCTCTAGCTAGGTTGCTATGATTGTCACTCGGACTGTTTGTTGAAAGTTGTCCTTTCTCATGCTCGACCTGTTTTCGTCCTCCCTGTACCATTGCGTAGGGACTGCAGAGACTACAGCTCACATGAGCTTTTGGAGACCCCCTAGAGCAATTCAGAAACCATCCAGCAGTTGAATGAAGGTAAATCCACATCATCCCACCTCCCCCTCCGCCTATCTCTCTTTGAAAATAGCATATCGTACCAGCCACCAATTTCCCACCTCCCCAACTCTTACTGTCATCCTCCTCCTCCCCCACACTCTCACATCCCGCCCAATCCATTTCTTGTAGAGCCCACTTACTCAGCACCTCCTGACATCTTGCTGATACTCGAGTGCATTTCGAACATCGCTTGACCGCAATGATACGTGTGTTTGGTGATGTGCCTTGCCTCGTGGTGGAGAGTAGAGTTTTCGAGTGTCGCTGCTGGGCCCTCTAGCTGTTCCGGTGAAGCCTTGGCTGCGGGGCGGCTACGATAGCATTGAGTCTTTTCAGATCGGTCATGACATTTGTGCGGTCTCATCGTTAAAATTGTAGTAGAGCCTTCATGAAATTATTAGCTCTCGGCCCCGGTTTTATACCAACAAACTCCCTTTTTTTCCACAGCCGTTGGCCTGGTCGAGCAATCCGAAGGTATCATTACGCAACGACTTGATATAGGACGTCTCCGCTACATGCTTATTACCACTGGAGTATTGGAGCACGCGGCTGTCCCTCTGTTCATAACACCTTTTCTAGGATCTTGGTATTGCTCGAGGGGGTCCGATTCACCTACGAGCAGTACCGGAGTCACACTGGTTTATCAGGTTGATCCCGGGCGCTACCGGTGGACTTGCAATCTGAAGTCTGATTCTGGTATGTAATCAGAGCAAATAGGGTGACGAAGGAGTAGAAACCGAGTGGTGCATAGCAGGATACCGCAAGAGTGATTGGCCATGGCCGGTGATAGAGGTAGGATACTCCGGAAAGCTTGTGATCACTTCGGTGTGTAATACTGGGTTTTTATTGGAGAAATTCTGGGGGACAAAAACCGGGATGATATTACGATAAAAAAAAAAAAGATTTAGCAAACATGCTGACTTACTGACGCTTGGAATATCGGGAAATGTTATCGGGTTTTCAATCCGGGGGTTGGCGGGTAAATACTATAGCCACCTAATGAGGCTGGGATACGACAACTTTGACACCAATGATGCTGGAGTGGTTAGCCCACCTGTCTGTCCATCATCCACTGTAGTGATCACATCTCATGGTCTCCCTTCGATAAACTACACCCAAACGAGACTGGTGCATATATATACTACTCGCGAGTAAATTGTTAAAGTGGATATCGCACATAGTACAGAGGCTTCAATCAGTGATAATAATTAGCGATAGGCGGCTGGTGAATCTGGTGGATATTCATGGCATGCCAACTATGGACAGTTGATCTCGGGGCTTATTGGTAATTTCTGAGGTTGTCTGGAACAGATTGCTGTTGATATGATTGCGGTGGTGGGAGTGATTTGGAATATCAGATTACCAAAGAATGACAGTTTTCTTTCAAGCTTGACTTTTTGTCGATTCCTCTTGTCGGTATGTGTTGTGGTTGAACTGGAATGATTGTGATATTAAGAGGATTGTAATGTGGGAGATTGTTGGGACAGGGTGATGCCGCATATCTGAGATTCAATTTCTGGCTATGAGAATGAGGACTGGTATGGAATTCAGAAATTTCGATAGTTGGGCTGAGCATGAAAGTTGTAGTGAACAACATGCGATGTAAAGGCTGACCACAGATTTCGCCTTCTTGGTGAACCCCTGCAGTGAGAATTTAAAATAATTTCAGTGAACCAAAGTGGCCAGTCCGTCGGCTTTGGGTACGGCCGGACTGGCCCAGGCTTTTCAGACATGGCCGGGCCGGACTGTGGGAAAGCGGCATGTCAAAAACAAAGCCGGGGCCCAGCCTAGGTCACCTGCGGGCCGAGTTTTCGGGTCGTATGGTACGTAGCTTGTGTTTCGTTGGGCGTCTGCCAGCTTTTCCTGGGTTGCATAACCCCTCGACCTGGAGGTTACTATACCTGGACATCCATGGGCTTTGGCGGCCGGAGATAGTTTAAGCAGGACTGGCCACTTGGGATCGCTGGAATTTGTTCTACCAATCCGGCACCGGAATGGAATAGCGTTGCATTTCGCCCTCCTGTCCTGGAACGGAAAGCTGTTGTCTCGGCGAGGCGGGGGGTTTGGAGATGGGGTTCGAGAAATTCATAGATAGGGTATGTGGGGGGGCCGGGATATGCAGGAGGAAAAGTGAATTTTCATCTAGGCTACTCTGGTTATGAGACTTTTGCGGGGTGGAGAATGTAGAAGTAGGGAGTTGCATAAACTGCAGGCTTCCGCTGTTGGCATATTTCTCTGGGTGGGAGTGGGGGGTTTACAGTTACAGAGCAAGGAGTCAATTCTCTGGTGCACTTCTCCCTTCCACAATCTTGAATGTTGTGATGCTCGTGACGTACAATCCCTTTTGCAGATTCCTCAACCTCTTCCCCCCCCACTGCACGCTCCCCGTTCCTAATCCCCCCCCCCCGGATATGGCGCTAATCTCGGTCTCAACGGCCCTCGGGTAATAGGGAACAAGGGGAGCTTAGGTGGGGGGCGGACCACAGGTGATAAACGGAAAGCAGCGAGTGACCGATTGCAGTGGGGCCTAACAATTGGATTTGTTTTCCCGTAAGCTTCCCAGGCTTCTAGTAGTGAAACTGGCCGGGCTTGTCGCGACCTGGGATAGCCGGTGGGGCTAGTTCGCTACTGTTGGGGGGTATGAGTTCTCGTTCGCTCGTCGCTGCTAGTGAGTGGGTTTCTATCGTGATATGATTTACTTTGTGGAAGGAAGTGCATACTATACTTGTAACTTGACTCTAGTTCGTCTCAACCAACATACGCTAACAGGTATCCCTTAAGCAGCAAAAAAAAATGGGGGAATGCAAAAATAAGAGCTGGGGAGTCCTAAGCACACGACAGCTGTGCGTGCTTGGGTGTGGATGTAGAGATCGGGAGTTTGGAGTGGCAAGGCTGGAAAGCTCGACAATTTGGTTATGTCATCTCCAACAAGGTATGGTACCGGTTGCACTGATAGATATGTTGATGGTGCGGGTAGAAGACCAATATGCAGCCTACAACTGGTAAGGGAAAAGGTGTGCATTGCGGGAATAAGAGGAGGATAACTTATAGTTTCTTTCAGCTAGCGTCGCAAGGTTTGTGTCTTTCTTTGGTTTTACTGGATTCTGCCCGGTGTGCTTGTTTTCGTTTTTGACAAACTAAGTATTCTTGGACTGCGGATCCCAATTGGGGTCTCCATATTGTTCTTTTCTGGTCATTATTAGCCTTGTGTGATAGGGGTGTTGGTCCTTCCGGTTTTTTATGATCTAAACGACTAAGTCGGCAGTCCTGCGCTGTCCCCACCTGTCATCGCTTCTGATTAGCCGAATATAAACCTCTCAGCTACCCAAAAACCTTAACAGCTCCACGCAGTCCTGGGCAGAAAATCTGCAGTCCTCAGTGATACATACCGCTACGTGCGGTCTTGATAATGGAGCAACGGAGTAATGTCTCGCATTGTTGGGCAGGTGGCCCCAGCCGAAGCCTGCCGACCTCTGGGGTCGCAGGACCAGGCGAGCTGTGAATCGTGATCGCCAGGGCAGCCAGACCGTGGCGAACACTGCCCTGAACTCATATAGTACTCGAATATATCTGCCGAACCTTCACTAAACCCCGTTAACCCCATACTCTTCCACGGGCCCCACCTGGGGAACCTACAGAGTAGACTTTCGGTGTATCCTAGTCATTATAAAAGATCTCGAGGATTAAGAGATATCTTGGGTGTATTCCGTAAGGGCAATTTCTATTGACATATTGGAAAGATATACGGTACCCAAGTATGACTTAAAGGGAAGGCAATAAGAAATAAGGAAGAGAAAAACTTGAGGGATTTTTTTCTTTCGGTTTCTCCTACCAGTGTGATAGCTAGGATGGGACTCTTCGGGCGCTTGGAGTGAGAACCCTCGGTCCAATGATTGGTCTGAGCGGATGATTTGGACGGTATGGTATTCGAGTAACCAACTGCCGGTATGATACCGAGACACCAATTTTATTAAAACACCTATGTGTCAAAGTTCCATTCGGAGAACGTAGTGAGTGGGTTGTTGTGCAAGCATTATATTATGAACAGCAGATAGTCTAACATACTCTATTCGAGTAAAATACAGTACAGTGAATTACGAGTGCCGGGGGCAATGCAGGTAAGCGTCAATTGTTACTGTAACTCGAACTTACGGTGCGAGTGAGCCTTTTTTTCTTTTTCGCTTTGAGATCCAAGGCTGATCTAAATTACGGTAGTCTACAAGGAACATTGGTGGGTAAACTGGCGTTCTTCGGCAGCCTTGTTAAATCAGCACTACCGGCGGAATGATTGAACCTGCGCGTGGTTGTGCAACGCCAGAGCCTTATAAACAAGCGACCCCTCTCACACGAGGTCTTAGAGATTCCCTCGAACTTCGGGAGATGTTAGATTGCCATTGCACACGATTCCTCTCTATCTCACACAAAGAAAGAAATTCAGATAATTGGCTATAGCACAGATGGCTTCGGTGAACCAGCATGTTACCGGTAACATCAACTCGTTCAATACGAGTATTGTCAACTTCAATACGGAAATAGACTCCGAGGGGCGTCAAATCCTGCAGTGGCTATCCC